CATGGTGTCCCAAATTTCTTGGACATTTTGGTTCATGACTTTGTTGGCTTTAGTGTTTTCTTTGACTGATGAATCTATTTCTTCTACCATATCTTCAATGCCAGAGATCCTTTCTTCCATCTCTTGCATTCTGTTGGTTATACTTGCATCTGAAGTTCCCAATCATTTACTCAGATTTTCTATTTCCAGCATTCCATCTGTTTGTGTCTTCTTCATTTTTTCTATTTCCCTTTTCAGGTATTGGACTGCTTCCTTCATCTGTTTCATTGCTTTTTCATGATTTTCTTTCAGGCCTTTATTGTTTTCTTCCAGGACCTTATTGTTTTCTTCTGCTTTGTTTGTCCTTTCCTCTAGTTTTTTATAGCGTTCTTCCCATTTTTTGTTTGTCTTTTCCTCAATTTCATTTGTGATTCCTTCTATATAAGCCTCTATCTTCTTCATGATGTTATTCATAAGGCTGTTTTCTTCTGCTTCTTCTAATTTTTGATGTTCAGGTCTAGATGTTGGAGGAGGGTTAGGTTCTGGTGATGTTGTATTGCTCTTCATTTTGTTGTATGTACTTCTTCCTTGACGTCTACCTATCTCCTTGTGATTTGTTCTTGGTCTTATCAACGCACGTGGTCCAGACAGAGCTGACAGATTCAGGAAGTCTCTCTCTCTGGTCCAGATGGGAGCTCTCTTGTCCAGATGGGAAGACTGGGGCAGGATGGGAGCTGGGGGCCGGTCTCTAAGTCTCAGGAAGTAGCTGGGGTCTCAGGCAAATGAGCATAGGAGCAGGGTCGGCCAGGGGTCTTGGAGAAGGGGAGCCTTCCTGCTGGGGGTAGAAGGGATCCTGCCCGATGGCCAGAACCTGGGGCCAAGTTGGGCAGGTCTTCTCTGGAGTGGCTGGTGCCCACGGGTGGGATCTAGGCTGAGCCCAGGCACTTACCTCTTGTCCAGACTGGAAGTCAGTTTGTTTGTTTGTTAAACAGAATTAAAAACTAAAGTAACTCATTAAGGCTGTATTTTTCAAAGGATAATTAAACACATTAAAACAAGCTATGACATTAATATTCAGCACCAAAATCATCAAATTGGTTTACTGCACACAAAATAGAAAATATGTTCACTGCATAACTGACCACTAGATAATATTTGCTTATAGCAGTTATTCTTATGAAAATTGAGAAAGGGGATGTATAAAATTGTAGCTACCTGGGTGAGATAGAAAAAGGCTTTTCTAAACAAATGCATGCATAGACAGATAGACATGTGAGATGTGTACATATATACACATGCAAGAAACTAAAGTTTATCCCACTCAGCCATTAAGAGTTACAGATGTATAATAGGTATATGCCAAATTTAAATGTCATTTGGAAAGTAAAAACAATATTCATTTTATAATTCTATAGTTTAGTTACACAAAATTTTAATTGTATCCAAATGACTTTAAACTTGAAATTTCAGTGATTAATTTTCATTTCATTAAAACTATCTGATCATTCCATTTTTCTGCTTCTGGTTTTTGCTGCTAGTAGGTGGTAGAAGACACCAATTCCTAACAGTTGTCAGTCACAGCTCAATCCTAGGAAGCTGTTTGTAGTCAAACATAAATGGAAGACAATCTAGTTAAACAACCACACTATGTCTTTTTGTTTTTGGTACTATCAGGTAGCATGAGAAGAGAAGAGCAAAAATCTCCTTGTGACATTTCAGAGTTGGGTATTTGCAACAGAAAGGGGAAAAATAGAATTGACTGAAGTCATTTATGCTCTGAACACTAAGCATAACCTCTCTCTAAAGTAGATGGCCTTTTGTCTAGCAAACACCTTGATTGGTTGCTTGAGTTTCAATGCCAAGGCTCCTGTGCACAGTCTGGACAAATACAAAAATAAGCAAAGGCCTCCATGAGTGGGTCTCTCTCTCTTTCTCTCTCTCTCTCTCTCCCTCCCTCCCTCTCTCTCTCCCTCCCTCCCTCTCCCTCTCCCTCCGTTTTGTTTTTTGTTGTTCTTGTTTATTTGTTTGTTTTATTTCATTTTTAATCAAAGGATGAAGTTGGAGAAGTTTTGTCCAAGCAAAGGGAGACCACCAATAAGGAGTCGTGACAAAGAGAGGGGAGCCTGTGTAAAAAGCGGGGAGTACATTTTTTTAAATGTGTGTCATCACTTTTGAATTTGAACATGTTGAAAAGTAAATGTTGCTATCAATGAACATCTTTGAACCACTGCCCATACTGAACAAATCACTACCTTTTTGCTCTTGTGAGATCCTTTGCTTCTTTTTCCTGCTGTTTTTGTCATATGCTTTGCCGAGAATCCTCTCCAATCACCTCAGCTTATCTCATAAACAGGAAAGGAATTTTCTACTTTATGTTTTCTCTTATTGAAATAAAGAAAAATAAAGGAAATAGATTCATTTCTCATACAGTATATCCTGATTATAATTTTCCCTCCTTCTTCTCCCATTCCTCCCCACCTCCCCTCCCCTCCAGATCCACTCCCTTTCTGTCTCTCTTAGTTGCTTCGAAGAGATAGCAACCAAACGTGACAAAATAAAATATAAGATGAAGCAAAAAATTATCATATCCAAGTTGGACAGGGAAACCCAACAAAAGGAAAAAAGTTCCAAGAGCAGGCACAAGAGTCAGAGACTCCTCACTGGATCTCACAGTCGTGAGTCCCATAAACATACTAAGCTCATAACTATAATATTTATGAAGTAGACCTGGTGTAAACCCAAGTAGGCCCTGTGCCTGCTGCTTCAGTCTCTGTGAACTCTTACATGTTTTGCTTAATTGATTAAGATGTGTCTTGGTGTCCTCCATCCTTTCTGGTTCTTACAATCTTTCTGCCTCCTTTTCTGTGGGATTCCCTTATCTCTGAGGGGAGGGATTTGATGAAGATCTCTAATTTAGACTCTCTCTCTCCATGATATCTGACTGTGGGTCTCTGCATCTGTCAAAGAAGCACTTAACCCCTAAAAGTACATTACCTCCTTAGTGTCATCAAATTTCTGAGTTCAGCTATCTACAATTGACTTTAAAACACTGTGATGTTTTTGTTTTCACTGGTTTATGAGCATCCAGGCAAGTTTCACAATGACTCCGTGTATCTTTAGGCTTATTTATCTGCAGAATATCCCTTTTCTCCCATACATGTTATTTCTTTTGTGGGATTTGTCCCACAAATTTCTTCGTGTGTGATGGGGGGGGGGTTGTTTGTTTGTTTGTTTTTCTAGACAGGGTTTCCCTGAATACACCTGACTGTCCTGAGCTCACTTTGTAAGCCAGGCTATCCTTTAACTCACATAGATCTACCTGCCTCTGCCCCCTGAGTGCTGAGACTAATGGTATGCACCACCACTGTCTGACAAGTTTTCCATTTTTAGACATTAGATGTTTATGACTTTTTAGTTTGTTTGTTTTTGGTTTTTGGAAACAGGGTTTTTCCATGTAGTTTTGGTGCCTGTCCTAGATCTCACTCTGTAGACCAGGCTGGCCTCTAACTCACAGAGATCTGCCTGGCTCTGCCTCCCAAGTGCTAAGATTAAAGGCATGTGCCAATGCCACCTGGGGTTTATGTCTTTTTAATGCTACTTCCCTCTGTTGCCAATGCCTCCCATACGTTTATATATTCTTTAGATTTGGATCACATATTTCAATGTTTTTAATTTTACCCTCTAGCATTATCATGATGATTCAGCAAGAAAAAGAGCATGTCACACAAGCCTAGCAAACTTAGATTCATCCTCAGAGCCCAGGGTGGAAGGAGATAACCTGTTCATGAGATAAAATTGCCTTCTGACCTCCACACATACACCAGTGTGGTAATATTTTGTTTGTGATCTAACAAAACTTTCCTGAAAATCAGAGTACAGAGCTAAGCCACTAGGCAGCCTTAGAGGCCAAGCAGTGGTGGTACACTCCTTTAATCCCAGCACTGAGGAGGCAGAGGCAGATGGATCTCTGTGAGTTTAAGGCCACCCTGGGCTACACAAAATTGATCCAGTCTAAAAGAGTAACAGAGCCAGGCAGTATTGGCACACACCTTTGATCCCAGCACTTGGCATCTCACACCTTTAATCCCAGAACTGGGGAGGTGGAGACAGGCTATCAGAGAAAGGAATCCAAGGCAGGAGGAGACAGGAGCTCACTCTCTTTCAGGCTGAGGATTTTGTAGAGGTAAGAACTGGTGGCTGGCTGCTCTGCTTCTCTGATCTTTCAGCTTTCACCCTGATATCTAACTCTGGGTTTTTAATAATAAGACCAATTAGGATTTGAGCTACACACCAGGGAATACATGCACCCAAAAACTCATATGGACACACACTCATACATACATATGCAAATAGTAATAATTAATAAAATTAAATTTTTATTTTGTACATTTTAATTAAAATATAATTATACCACTTTCCCTCATACTTTTCCCCCTTTCCATCCCCTTCTTAGTCCCTTCCTTCCAACTCCTTCTATTCCCTCCATTCACTCAAGTTGATAGTCTCTTCTTCCTCAAATATTATTGCCATATACATATGTGTGTGTATATATGCATAAATATATAAACACAGCCTGTTGAGTCCATTTCTGTTGTGTAGCTATGGTTTCAGGGCTGACCACTTTGTATTGGGCAATAGGCTGTCTCCCTCTCTCAGGGGTCATTATTTGCCTACAGTTCCTTGTCTGAGAATGGGACCCCCAGGAGATTTTGTTTTCCTTCTAGGTTAGCATATCTATTGACATTAACATTTTTTAGATTTTGTTTCTGCAGCCATTCCTCTGAGGGACTGTCTTACAGAAGACTTCCTGATATTCTGCCTTTTACAACCTTTTTGCCCCTTCTTCCATGATGTTCTATGAATCATAGATTCACGAGCTGTAGCGTAGATGTGTGCACTGGATCTGGGCTCTTCAGAGCCTGTCGATCTCTACAGTGTATCCAGTAGTGATTTTCTGTTATGATCTCCATTTTTCTATAAAGAGAAGCTTCTTTGAGGAGGGTGGTACCTTATATCCACTCTTATCTGTGGGTAATTGTAAGATTTAGAATGTAGTAAAAATTTGTGCTGGCTAGTGGAAGCCCATGAACTGTAGACTAGTGGCTGTGGAGCCCCCATGGGACTGGACTAAGCCCTCTGGATACAGAAGACTGTTGTTTGGCTTGAACTGTTTGGGGGCCACTCAGGCAGGGGGATCAGGATCTGTCCCTGGTGCATAGGCAGGCTTTTAGGAATCCAGTGCCTGTGGTGTGACGCCTTGCTCAGCCTTGGTGCAGTGGAAAGGGGTTTGGACCTGCCTAGGCTCAGTGTGCTGGGCTCTGCTGACTCCTCATGGGAGACTTTGATTTGGGGGATGTGGGGATGTGAGGTGGCTTGAGAGAGAGGGCTGGGGGTGGGAAGAGGGAGGAGATGGGGTCTGTGGGTGGTATGTAGAGTGAGTAGAAAATTTCCTAATAAAGAAAAATGAAAAAAAAATTGGTCTAGCAAAGTGGCAGTAATAAAGATAGATAGATGGATACATACATACATACATACATATATACATACATACATACACACATAGATACATAGATGAAGCATAGATACATACATAGATATATACATGAATAGATGATAGATGATAGATAGATAGATAGATAGATAGATAGATAGATAGATAGATAGATAGATAGGAGATAGATAAATGTGTACACTTATATGTATTCTGCATGGTTTTATGTAAATATCTTACATTCCTTGAGGCTTTATCAAACCTTGGTGTTACTTGCCCCTCCTCTTTCTTCCTTCTGGATTGACCTCCCTCCCTCCTCCCCAGTTACAGATGCCTCCCCATTTTTCCACTTCCTACTTAATATCACTTGTATCCTGCTGTTCCCCTCTCAAGTCTTCTCCCTCATGGTCCCTTTATACTTTCCTGGTTTATGCCATTATTCTGTGTTGTATACGCACATCAGAAGATTTGGACCTAGGAATCTAAAATGAGAGAGAACATATGACCTTTATCTTTATGAATATGTGTTATCTCACTCAATATAATCTTATCTAGCTACATCAATTTGTCTGTAATTTTCATGATTTCATTTTTTTTTTACAGCTGAACAATGTTTTACTGTGTATATGTACCACATTTTCATAATCCATTCATCTGCTGAAGGACACCTAGGTTGTTTCCATTTCTTAGCTGTTGTGCATAAGGCAGCAATGAAAATGGCTGAGCAAGCATCTATGGGGTAGAATATCAACTGTTTTGGGTATGTGCCAAGGAGTGGAATATCTAGGTCAAATGATAATTTTGTCTTTAGTATTCTGAGGATCCTCTATACTAATTTTCAGAATGGCTTCATCAGTTTGCATTCCTACCAAGAGTGAATGAGGGTTCCCCTTTCTCCATAACCTTATCAGCATTTGTTGACAGTTGTTTCATTGATCTTAGCCACTCTTTCCAGGGTAAAGATGAAATCTCAAAGTTGTTTTAATTTTCATTCCCCCAATTGCTGAATGACAAATATTTTTTGAGGTATTTCTTAGCCATATTTCTTTCTTCTAGTGGCAACTCTCTGTTTAGATCACTGGTCCATTTTTCATTGGGTCATTTGTTTCCTTGACTTTTTTTAATTTTCAGTTCTTTGAATAGTCTGGATATTGGTCCTCTGTCAGATGTGTGGCTGGCAAAGATTCTTTCCCATTTTGTGTGTTTCTTCTTCCCTCAATTGGATGTTTCCTTAGCCATGTAGAAGCTTTTTAGTCTTATGAGGTCCCAGTAGTCAATTGTTGCCCTTAATTTCTGGGCAAATGGAGTCCTATTCAGAAAGTCCTTTTCTACATCTACATCTTGTGCAGTACTGTCTAGGCTAGTAGTTTTAGCATTTCAAATTTAAAATTGAGTTCTTTTATCCACTTGGGACCATTTTTGTGCAGGATGATAAATATGGGTCTCATTCATTCTTCTACATGTTGACATGCAGTTTGCCTGCTACCATTTGTTGAAGATGTTGCCTTTTCTCCAATGTGTGCATTTCTGCTTCTTTGTCAAATATCAGATGGCAGTAGTTATGAGTATTCATTCACAAACCTATTATAAACATGCACATGCACACGAACACATGCACATTAACAACAACAACAATAATAATAATAATAATAATAATAGCTGTTCTTAAATTATTTGTAGTTAATAAAAACATAATAAATATATACACTAATGGGGACACAATTTAGTGTTTTGGTTAATGCCAATGTTGTACAATATTTATATTAAATAAAGCATATCTATTAAGGAGCAGGAAGTTCTTCACAGCCAATTTTTCTGATATAGCTAGCATAAGTACATTCTAAAATGACTGACATTGATGGAATAAACAAGTCCAACTTCTCATGGGAGCATCAAGTAAGCACCAAGAAGTAAAGGAGAGGGTAGTCATCTGGATGTAGATACCTTTCTCTTTGTTTATGCTCAGGAAAGTTAGCATTTT